GGGGCGGGTTTGGCAAAACCCACAAAAGTTTCAACCCGTCCCGCCCCGCATAGTCATTTTTTTCTGTTTTCAAACCGCCCTGACCCGCCCCACTTATGTTTTTTTTCTTTTCTAAAATAAACTAGTTTGACATTTTATACTATTAGAAGTTTAGATTGATAGTTCAGTAGAAATGAACACTAGAGTGGGTAGTCTCGTGACTGAAAAATGATTAGTGTATAATTTGGTATAGTAACCATATTTAAGATTTCACAGATTCTGATAATAAACTAACTGACGTTTTTTTTTTTCATTAATTCCTAGTTTTCAATTTTAAACTCAACACTAAGTTAATTTTTCTAGTTAAAATCAAAGACGAAATAAAATCTAATTTATTCTTAATTAACTTAAATTGGGATTATTTTATTTTTATATAGTAATTCTCTGCAACAAATTTTTTCATTTTTCAATTTATCTCCCATCAGAAAATCGTGAAGGATGTAGCAAATTCATTAGTATTCACAAATTTGAAACAGAATGGATTAGAGCTATTCCACGGGTTTCAATCTTTGAAATAACAATGTAAAGTTTTCGTGACCAAAGTTTTGTTCTGATTTGGTTAAAACTGTGGGAACAACAATTTGGAAGATATAAACTATCCTTTTTAAAGCCAACCCGCATTGAACCCACATTAAACCCGCTACCCGCCCCGCTTAATTTTTTTAAAAACTGTTTTAACTGGCCCCGCACCCGCATCAAACAAAACCCGACACCCGCCACGCCCCATTGCCATCCCTAAAAGAGCCACAGCAACCCAGATTGTTGCAAGACTCAAATGCAAAACCCAGGGAAAATTTAGAGGACATAAGCAGATCTTGTTGCCAAGATGCAACGTCCAACAAAGTCAGTGATAATCCAGAATTTCCAAATGATGCAGAATTCAACGGTAAGCATGTAGCTAGTAGACACAAACTCAGGATTGATGTGAATGCGATACAAAATTCAGAGTCTATAAGAAAGAAGCATTCTTATAAGCTATAACAGGAAGAACAATCATTAACAAATAGGCTAAAAGAAATGGCTGAACGTTTATTGGAGCTTCCGAGATGCCACTTCTAGACTTAGACATGCGCAAAGCGCGATATTACTTTCGCTGATATCATTAGGCACCGCAATCTCGTTTCTGCTTTCCCACAGTGAAAATTCTGTGCTTTTGCATTCTGTTAAGCATGCGAGTAACGATCTTTCTCGGGGTAGGAATCAATATCTAGACTATACTTCTCATAATGATAAACAAATTCAAGATCCACGTAGTATTTCTCGTAAGAAAACAAGGATAAGAAACATGAATGAGCTCCATTCACTTCTCATCTTGCTGAAGTAAGGCCATGATTTGAAAAAATCAATCCCCTGTTCCACATAATTCAAGAACAATTAATAGATGATCCAGAATTTCACGCCTAACTGTGACAAGTTATTTATACACTCCTTTTCCAGATAATACAAAGTTGAAGACTAAAAAAAAAATAACTTTGAGCTATCAAATCTATAGAGGATACAGAAAACTGGAATAGATAAGATGGAATACAACTAATTTTTCAATGAGCTGCTCTGTGATCTCATCTCACTTAAATGGTAACTGTTTTTTGCACTGAAAATGGGCAGGAATATCAGTGAGCTGACATAACTCTCTTGGTTAATCAACATCATTCTTCAATGCATATAATGATAAGCGTAAAGAGCATGAAAAATAGCTATATGGATCGATGCAAATGTAGAGCGAGATTGTGAGATTCCATACAACTTGGTACTGGGTTGAGAAACTTCGAGCTTAGCCTCTCATGCCTTCCTCTCAACCATTAAGGTGTTCATAATTCCACTTCAGAGGCTGCATAGTTTTTGCTTAGAAGAGAGTCATATACAGTGGAATCGAGACGATTAATCTTCTTCATAATCTCGCAGAATTGCTTAACTCTGACAGGGTCACTATTATCCTCGAAGTATGCTAGAAACATCTTGATGGTTTCATCCACAGGGAACCAACAACGTTTCTCAGGATTTGCCTTGCTGGCACCCATCTCCAAATACTTCAGAGCCAAATCTATCTGAGTATTTTTTATAAAGTAATTTGTGAATGCACCAAAAGTTCTTAAGTTGGGTTCAACACCTTGTTTCAACACATTCTCATAAACCGAATTTGCTTCTTCAATCATATTTCTCTTGAGATAGGACTCTATCATCACATTAGAAATTCTGATTTCATGTCTACAGCCTGAGTCCCATTCTCTAAAACACTTCTCAAGGTTTTCCAAATCCCCTACTTTGGATAACGCTACAAGCACAATGAGATAGCTCACCTTACTGGGAGTTGGAACAACCGACTTCAATGATTCCCATGCACGATTGACTCCTGACGAATTAGATGTTTTCTGATACAACGTGATTAGGGTGTGGAATGCCTCACGGTCATTTATATCTTCTAATTTCTCCATCTTTTGAAGAATACCATTCGCCTTATCAAGGTCGCCGGTATTGATATACATGCCAGCTAGGTTTCCATACGTGAACCAGTCCAACTTTACCTGATTGTTTTCCATATTTTCAAGAACATCCTCAACTGATACTATATCCTTTACCGAAACATAGCTGGTCATCAACTGATTATAGGTATACAAATCAGCTGCAATATTTCTCTGCTCCATTTCTTGAACCAGTGGAGGGACTTTTTCAGGCTGGCCATTGCTTAAATAAAGAGATATGACATTGTTATAATTTAAGGTAGATGCAAAATTGAGCTCTTTCATCTTCTCAAAAAGCTTCAAACCCTTATCCAGCATTTTCTTCCTGCAATAACACCAGAGAAGTGCTCCATAGGTTTTACTAGTTTTTTCAGATTCTTGCAGGCTGTCAAAATACTTTTCGGCTGAATCTGTGCCTTCTGTCTTGGCCAGAAGGTCTATCCGTATTGCACGATCGGCATCGCTGATCGTAATTTTGCTGATTTCCATCCATTTAGACAGCTGCATTTAGAAGTTTAATGATATAACAACTTGTCCAAGATGGAAGTAGCAGCTTATGTAATTTAAGGGGAAAGAAAAGGAGATAAACCCAGATAAGACCATTTATGAAACAAGAATAATTTGAATTGCAGAAGTCACTGGGATATATATATATATATATATNGCTGTGATTCGTGTAACTGTTTGCCCAATGTAAGCACAGGCATTCACGGTTAACTGGTCAAGATCGAGACACCAAAAGATAAAAGGATAATAGCTTAAACCATATAGCTTATAAGAACGATCATTGTAATATATCAATTGTATTCATATTTTTGGAAGGCAATAAGCCAATAAGCATATTTATTCGAGATTTCACTAATTGCAAATGTAATAAATGTTTGATAAAAGCAGTAAAAGGGTCATGTGTTTCCACTCTGAATCTCAAACAAATAACAACAACAGCAGCAACAACATACCCAGTAATATTACGCATTGTGGGGTCTGGAGAAGGTAGTGTATACGCAGACCTTACCCCTACCTTGTGAGAATAGAGAGGTTATTTCCAATAGACCCTCGGCTCAGGAAAGCACAAATCTCAAACAAATAAAAGCAGTGAAAATAAGAAAAGCATCCAAATTATAAGTGTTAAATGTTCAAGTAAAACCCGACCAATTTTTTTTTCAATTAAGTCTTAAACATGTTGGGATCGACTATATGAATCCTCACTAACTAAGTTGCTCCATTTATGCACGTACTCTCAATTGTGAGTGGTTAGAAGAAAATTAAAAGGATTTAGTTGACTTTTCTCGCTTATGGGGGAAGTCATTTTTATTTACAACTTTCCCAGCTCTTTTGTCTTACTTCATATCACTTGCTCCAAACAACACTTGGGACATTATTACCAATCTTTAATACACAAAAGTTTCAGCAAAACACTATCCAATTTGCTGACATTATTATCAATATTTAATAATAAATATTTTTTTAAAAAACATTTTTCACCACCACCAAATACTAGCATTTCCATGGGAAAATGTGAACTTTATCATGAGATGCAGAGTCCAATCAGCTACCATGCAAAAGTGAACTAATAATATAATCGATAATACTACTCCTTCTGTCCCAATTTATGTGGCAGTATTTAAATGTGCACACACATTTGAAACTTGTCATCTAAAACAAGTTATATAAGCATTTCTGTAGTGTGCTCGCTTGAATAATAACCAAAAAAAAAACATAGATAAATGAGTAGAAGAAAAATAGATACCTGAAGGGCAAGATCAAACCTATTGCTTCTACGGAGATGGCTGAGGCAGTCAATAATCTCTACCTTTCTTAACGGTTTCCCTTCGTTATGCAATTTATTTAGAGCATCTTTGAAGTTGGTTTTAAGCGGGTCTGCTCTGTTCATAAGGTCCGACAATCTCCGGCGACCGGCGTTTCTTCGGTTGTTTTGAGTGATGGCCGACGTTGATACCGTCGCCGTCTCCGCTACCACCTCCATTTCTGTAGAGAACGATCGGCGACATGTCGTCGTTGATCGAAGAAGCCTCAAACAGGTAGCTCTGCTCACCATTTTTCTGGTACTCTTAAGTTGCAGTGAGTGAAGCATAGAGGGTTTAACTAGGGTTTTACCAGAAAGAAATTTTCAGTTTCACAGGTACGACGTCGTTTTGTGAACAAATTTCCTAACTTTTAACCTAGCTAATACAAAAATCAACCAAAATGACATAATAGTAGTACAGTTAAGTTACGTAAAAGTAACCAATAATTAAGTTTTGTTATAAATATATTATATTATGGATATTCATTTAGTATTTCGTTGTAAATAAGCTTCCTGAAGAAGCTTATCTATACGAGACTTTGTCGTAAATATGTTTATCTATTTAGTACTCTATTGAAAATAAGTCTCCTCAAGAAGCTTATCCTTTCGGTACCCCGTTATTGATAAACATCACCCCCAGTAGAAGATTATCAATATCTGGTGCAATGAGCTTATCTTTTTAGTACCCCATCATGGATAAACATAACCTCCGGTAGAAGATTATCCATATTTGGTACAATAAGCTTATCCTTTCAGTACCCCATTATGGATAAACATCACCCTAATAGAAGATTATCTATATCTAGTACAATAAGTTTATCCTTTCGGTACTCCATTATGGATAAACATCACCCTAATAGAAGATTATCTATATCTAGTACAATAAGTTTATCCTTTCGGTACTCCATTATGGATAAACATCACACCCGATAAAAGATTATCTATATCTGGTACAATGAGTTTATCCTTTCGGTACCCCGTTATGGATAAACATCACATCCGGTAGAAGATTATCTATATCTGGTACAATGAGCTTATCTTATCGGTACTCTATTACGGATAAACATTACCCCTAGTAGAAGATTATCTATATCCGGTACAGTAGTAGCTTACACAGCAGCTTGCAGAAGCAGCTTACACAGCAGCTTGTAAAAGCAGCTTGCTTTCTTCTATAAATAGAGGAGATTCCGGTTCATTATGAATATAAGTTTGAAATTTGAATAATATATCAGTTCCTCTCTATACTTGTCTTTACTTAATAGTCTTTATTTTATAACACGTTATCAGCACGAGACTCTGCCATCTCGAGCAAATACTTTGAAAGTATCAAAGGTACGAACTTTCTTTTTCTAAATAATATTAAATCTTTCTAAACTTGAATTTGTAACCCTGGATATATCGGGCAAAAGCTACATGTCTTGGGTGCTCGATGCTGAAATTCATCTTGATGCAATGGGTCTGGCAGACACCATCAAGGACAAAAATCAAGCATCAAACCAAGACCGTGCCAAAGCAGTGATATTCCTACACTGTCACCTTGATGAAGGATTGAAAATAGAATATCTCACTATTAAAGATCCAGTCATACTATGGAATAATTTGAAAGATAGATATGACCACCTGAAGATGGTCGTTCTTCCACAGGCACGTTATGATTGGACTCATCTAAGGCTACAAGATTTTAAATCTATCAGTGAGTATAATTCTGCTATGTTCAGAATTATTTCCCAATTAAAATTATGTGGTGATAATATTACTGATCATGATATGTTGGAGAAAACTTTCACCACTTTTCATGTCTCGAATATGCTCCTGAAGCAGCAATATCGAGAGATGAGATTCAAAAAGTATTCTGAACTTATCTCACATCTTCTTGTAGCCGAGCAACATAATGGGCTATTAATGAAAAACCATGAAAGCCGACCTACTGGTTCTTGTCCATTCCCTGAAGTGAATGAGACGAACTTCCACTAAGCTAAGCGTGGAAGAGGACGTGGCCCCAGTCATGGTCATGATCGTGGTCGGGAAAGAAATTCTAATCACAGTAATAATAATACACCAAAGAACCCTCATCACCACCAGCAGTGGAAAAAGAAGGAACAAAAGCATGAAGCGGTGCAAGTAGCAAAGGCAGAAAATGCATGCTATAGATGTGAAGGAAAAGGGCACTAGTCACGTACATGTCGTACGCCAAAGCACCTGGTTGAGTTGTATCAAGCCTCCCTGAAGAAGACAGAGAAAAATATTAAAGCAAATTTTATTTCTGAAGATAATTTAGACTTCATACATGTGGATGTAGCTGATTACTTTGCATTCCCAGAAGGAGAAACAAGTCATGTGGTCGGTGATGAATCTGTAGAAATATAAATATTTTAATTTTTGTTATTTATAGTAGATAGTGTGAGCACCTAATTTTTTACCGTGCTTGAATATTTCACGCTCCCATCTTCCCAGGCATGTCCCCACTCCACTTTCATTTGTCCCCCATGCTTGTTCCCCATGCTTGTCCCCCCACACTTTGCTCCCTACTCTCTCCATTGTTCCCCACTCCTTGTCCCCCATGCTTGTCTCCTATCACAAACCCCATACCCCATTTTCAGTTATAAAACACACACACAACACACAAAAGAGGGAACCAACCAGAAAAGAAAGGGGAGTCGTTGCTGTCTTCAAAAAGAAAAGGAAGCACCCCAATTTCCTTAATTTCCCCAAGAGATCCTTTGAGTCATGAGATCTTTCACACACTAAAAAAAAAACAGCCACACTCACATAAATAGAAAATAGAACAGAAAGAAACGAGAAAAAAATGAGCTGGTTGAACACACGAAAATGGAGTTCAGCGAAAGCTCACAAAAAATGGAGTTCACGGGTCCCTTTTCATTACTCCATTAACGTGGCTCCAAAGTAGTACACAAAGCAGCCATTAGAGCATCTCATTAGTTAAGCTCTATTCCACTCCTAAAAACCAGTCTGTTCGAAGCCATAAAAAATCGTTCTCTGCTAGCTCACTATCGCCGGCATTTCGCCGGATTTTTACTATCTCCGGCCAGCTCTTTTCCCTCGTGAACAGTCCCCAAAACAGTCCAAAAAATGTAACAAAACCTCCACTAAAGCAGTCCAAAAATCAGCTTCTTACATCACTGAAAGAGCTGCAGTTTAAGCTCCATTTCAGTCGTGTAAAGTCACCGGAGTTTAGTGAGTTTCCGAAGTCGGCTTCGAGTTTCCGACGATTTGGTCGAGTTTCTGTTGAGGTCTTGTACGCAGTTTTGTTGGTATTTGAGCTTCAAAAGTTGTCAAGGAATCGAAGCTCAGACGCATCTATAAAAGGCTATTTTTTGTTCTTATCTCATCTTATTATAATAGCTTGATGAATGTTGTTGATGGATCCCATATTCTCTGTTAGCATGCTTTCACGTGTGATTTTATCTTGTTTATCAATTGTTTTGGTGTTATTGGATCATTGATGTTGAGTTGTTAAGAGGGATTGATCAGATTTCTATGGCTGGCCACTAAAGTAGATCTTGTGTAAATGTGCCTATCGATATTGTTACAAGTTTGTACGTGGCTAAAATTCCCGCTTAACTGCAACCACACACCAATTTGATATGCTTTCGTAGTTCTAGTTGTCATACTGTATCATATCATTCTCACTATAACAAATTAGATATATATATTTGCAGATTTGTTATCTTCCCCCTTAACAATTCAAGTGCGTGAGAGACAGAAGTGCATAAACATGTTGCATAAAATGCATTATTTTAATTAGGAAGTCCAAAAGTGAAAAAACAATGGGTTAACTTGATAAATAACTTCATTTCCCATTGGCTTATGTTTTACAGATGACTTTTGCTTGTGTGAGCTATGAGGAAGAACATCGTAGTTTGCTTTAGGCGCATAAATAAATCAGGCTATGAGTACGGTTCCCGTGATGCGGTTCGCAATATATACAAAAATAAACGAGCGCGCGACATCGCGACTTGTTCAAATAAATTTCATAAATATTAAAAGCGGATAGATAAAACATAGAAACCAATAAATTATAGTTTATCTAAAATTAATTCAAGCCAAGTTGTAGTCAATAAAGCGACCGTGCTAGAATCACGGGACTCGGGGAATGCCTTACACCTTCTTCCCGGTCAACGGAATTTCTTACCCGGACTTTATTTTGCAGACCAATAATAAAAGAGTCAAATCTTTCTTTGACTAGGGATTCAAATAAAAGGTGACTTGGAATACCCAAAAAATCAATTCCAAGTGGCGACTCTGTAAATAAAATAATCCCTATTCAAGTTTGTCACTTTAATTGGAAAAACTCTTTAACCTACAACAATCCATAACACATTATCGTTTTGGGGGGCATAAAATGAGGTGTGACAGCTCTGGCGACTCTGCTGGGTAATTTCAAGAATTCGAGCTTGTACATTGACTTTATTTGGCTTTATTAATTTTTGTATATATTGTGATTTATTTGGGCCTAATGTGTTACTTGTCGAGTTTTTACCGTTTTGATATTGTTGAACTGTATATATAAATTGTATCTTCTCTCGCATCCCTCTGAATCTTCTGATAATTAGTTATATTGTGTTTGCCTACCAGTATCACAAAATTTCTGTCTTGAGATAAAGCCAGTTAGCCTACCAGCTTCTGGTGAAGGATTTAGTCACACGTGTTTAGGCGGGAGAGCCGTCAGCTAGCCAGTGCTGTTCTACTACTGGTGACGCTTGACACTCCTCAGCTCGGGTTGTCCGCCCGGGTAAGCCAGGTCTAGATACCATCTCCTTTAGGATTTACAAACTT